TCATCTAATGATTGATATCTGAGGTGCGTCAGCTGTCACCTGACGCGAGCATCGATCTGAGGCACAACATATATATTTCAATTATCAAAGAAACTTGTCATGTATAAATTTTATTTTATCTTTATAATATAACAAAAAAATTTAATCTATTACAATATAAATTATTAAACTTTTAACATGGAAGCCAAAAAAATCGATTTCATAATTTGTGGCAAATCCTTGTTATTCAGACAAATGTGCGCATGGCTACCAAGACTTTTCTTTAGTCTTTAAATTTAGAAGAAAATTAAAAAACTAAATCACATTGAAATTATATATAAGAAATCAACAAGGCTTTTCTACTTACTTTTCAGCTTGATCTTGTAAAGATCCAATAAATATTATAAAGGAGTTTACCCTCTCATCTTCTTTCAATGCTATCATAGATGTTATGGCATGAGTCATAATATCAAATCTATATATATAATTATATTTAATAATAATACCTTTTGCAATATCTTCTGGGTTAATTTTATATTGTTGAATATTAGCATCAGAAAGCACAATAACAAAATAATCATCTGCTGCTTCTTTTGTAATATCTTTAATAGCATGTAAAACTGCACCCAGTGTATTATCTATATAAAATTTATAAACAATGTTTCATGCATATTAAGATAATTTTATAACATTTAACAGAATATTTGTAATTTGTCATATACCTCCACTAAGACAAAACTGCGAATGTGTATGCATTTTATTCATCACTTTAAATGTCTCCTTTTCGGTACGCGGATATTTCCCTGTTTTTACGAATTCAACATTAGGTGAATCTCCGCTATGTCCAAAAATTTGGTATTGAAATTTATGTTCAAAAGATTTAAATGACTCCATAATCACTAGTAATAATAAATATTATTTGGATTTGTATAATCTGAATATGAAAATATGCAGCATCGAACTTACTAAGAGCAACTTCCATAGAACGGTCCAATCGACGATCGTGAGAATTGAATCGATACATACTAAAATTCATTTTTCAAGTAGAGTA